GCCGACAAGAAAGGGGAGCGAGAGCTGCGGGGTAGATGGCTCGACATGCACGACAAGCCGGTGAGCTTCGATGCTCGCCGCTATCACATGGTGGAGCCGCACGAGGGCAGCATGTGGGCACTCGCTGCTTATGTTCCCGCAAGCCTATGCTCGGGCGACGGAGCAGCACCGGCAAGCGCTGAGAGAAGCGGGCTTTCCGCTGCCTGCTTGAACCCCCAGCCAAAATAACGGGGTGGCTTCCTTATATATATACGACTGGGGGGTTGCTCGGAGGAGTTTTTTTTTTCGAATCGCGGGTCGTCGCCCAGATCCCGGACAGGTCACTTCCACGATTTCCGCGATTTCCGGGGTTTCCGGGGGGTGTTGGGAGGGCCCAAAAAGACAACATGGAAAGCGTGGAAAAATGAAGCTCCTGGACACCAAAACAGGGCTCGAAGAGCAGGGTTCCAAAGTGAACTCCGAACACCCTGGAAAACGTGGAAAGCGTGGAAAAATGAAGCTCCTGATCATCAAAAACGGGCTCAAGATCAGGATGTGCAAAGCACAACATGGAAAGGAGTGGAAGGGCAGCTTTTCGCTCTCTCTGGGGAGGGTGTTCCAGCACTCCACTCTGTGATAGCTACAAGCCTAAGTTCAAGACATAGGTCAGAATTCGATACTTTGGAGCACTATCGATTCGCGGGCCTACGGCCCGCAGCTCCGACGATCTTAGGGGCTCTAAAGTCTTTGCAAAACGGGCTTTAAAGGAACTTTTAGGAGCACTCGCCAGCGCAACTCGCCAGCAGCTGACGAGCACTCGCACGAGCAGCAACTCACGAGCTACTTGCTGGCAACTCACGAGCTACTTGCTGGCAACTCACGAGCTACTTGCTGGCAACTCACGAGCTACTTGCTGGCAACTCACGAGCTACTTGCTGGCAACTCACGAGCTACTTGCTGGCAACTCACGAGCTACTTGCTGGCAACTCACGAGCTACTTGCTGGCAACTCACGAGCTACTTGCTGGCAACTCACGAGCTACTTGCTGGCAACTCACGAGCTACTTGCGAGCTACTTGCTGGCAACTCACAAGCACTCGCTTGCGGCTCACGAGCTTCTTGCCCACGGCCCGGAGTTTTTGCGAACGAGCTGGACCTCAGATTGAGGTCCAGCCCTGGAAATTCCTCGAGCGTCCTGGTCCTGCCAGCACCGTTCGGGAGCTTACGAGCTGCAGCCCAGCAGCTCACGAGCTTCTTGCTGGCAACTTACGAGCACTCGCCAGCAGCTCACGAGCTACTTGACTTGCCGGCAGCTCACAAGCTTCTTGCGAGCAGCGCACGAGCTTCTTGCCAACCGAAATAACTGAAATTCAGGACAAATCACCGAAAGTTTCGCCACTCGCCGGCAGCTTACGAGCTACTTTCGAGCAGCGCACGAGCTTCTTCTTGCCAACCGAAATAACTGAAATTCAGGACAAATCACCGAAAGTTTCGCCACTCGCCGGCAGCTTACGAGCTACTTTCGAGCTGCTCCCACGCCCTCCGCGCCGAAAGAGCGCGGGAAGCGCGCATCGCTCCCAAACAGCTCCGGAGCACGACGGAGCGCCTCCAAGCAGCTCGCGAGCTCGCTTCGCGCCCTCAAACTGCTTCCGATGCCGCGCGCGCCCGTTTTGCAAGCACTTTAGAGCCCCTACGATCGCGAGCCCTACGGCCTCCAGCCCTCAAAATCGATAGGCCCTCCAAGTATCGAATTCTACCCTATGTCTCGAAACTAGCCTCGTAGCTACTACAGAGTGGAGTGCTGGAACACCCTCCCCAGAGAGAAAGGCTAGTTTCGAGACATAGGGTAGAATTCGATACTCGGAGGGTCTGTCGATTTTGAGGGCTGGAGGCCGTACGGGTCGCAATCTTAGGGGCTCCAAAGTGCTTGCAAAACGGGCGCGGGCGGCTTCGGAGGCAGTTCGAGAGTGTCCGGAGGGGACCTGAGACATTGAGACATTGAGACAACCGGTTCTGAGGGCTGTGGGGCCGGAGGGGGCTGAGACATTGAGACTTTGAGACATTCGCTTCGATTCCAGGCCGGTTGTCTCAAAGTCTCAATGTCTCAGCCGCCTCTGGGCCGGGAGGCTCGGAAGCTTTGAGGGCGACGCGCGCTTTCGCGCGCTGTTCCGGCGCGGAGGGCGTGGGAGCAGCTCGAAAGTAGCTCGAAGCTGCCCGGCGAGTGCTCGTAGGTTGCCAGCAAGTAGCTCGTCAGTTGCTGGGCTGCAGCTCGCAAGCTCCCGAACGGTGCTGCCAAGGACCTTGCGCAGGACGCTCGAGAATTTCCCGATCTGGACCTCAGATTGAGGTCCAAATCGATTTGTCAGTCAACTTGACTGACAAATCGAAATTTCCCGGGCGAGTGCTCGTAAGTTGCCAGCAAGCAGCTCGTAAGCTGCTGGCGAGTGCTCGTAAGTTGCCAGCAAGCAGCTCGTAAGCTGCCGGCGAGTGCTCGTAAGTTGCCAGCGAGCAGCTCGTAAGTTGCCAGCAAGCAGCTCGTAAGCTGCTGGCAAGTGGCGCGCCCTTAAAGTTCCTCTAAAGCCCGTTTTGCAAAGACTTTAGAGCCCCTAAGATCGTCAGAGCTGCGGGCCGTAGGCCCGCGAATCGACAGTGCTCATAAGTACCGAATTCTGACCCATGTCTCGAACTGAGGCCTGTAGCTATCACAGAGTGGAATGCTGGAACACCCTCCCCAGAGAGAGCAAAAGCCCCGTTGAGACAACTGAGACAATGAGACAACCGGTTGTCTCCATGTCTCTTTGTCTCTCTCGTCTTTCTGCGGCAAGAGACTTGTTCAAGCAGGCAAGGGAAAGCTCGCTTCTCTCAGCGCCTCTCGGTGCTGCTCAGTCGAGCGAGCGTAGGCTTGCGGAACATAAGCTGCGAGAGCCCACATGCTGCCCTGGTGTGGCTCAACCATGTGATATCGGCGAGCATTGAAGCTGACGGGCTTGTCGTGCATGTCCAGCCATCGTCCCCGCAGCTCCCGGTCGCCTTTCTTGCCGGCCAGCATCGCCGTAGAGTCGCCCTCGTCGTCTTCGATCCACACCCGCCCCCCGGTGTAATCGCCGAGAGCCAAAGCATGATTCAAGTGCCCTGGCATGTTCTGAATGTCGCGGTGCAGGCCCATGCGAGGGTTGAAAAGCACGGCGATGGAGGTCCAGGTGCCGTTCGGAAAGCGACTCTTCAAGAAGCGGTTCACTGCGGTGCAGGCCGCTCGCTTGCTCGTTGCGTTGGAAACACCGCACACCCCCCCGTGCCCGAAGAAGCCCAAGGTGCAGTATTTCTCGAACGCACCAGGCCCCACGACGCGGGTGCGCACTTGATGTTTCCAGTCCGCTGACCACAGGTCCAACAGCCTAACCAAATTGGCTTCGGTGGGCTCCTCCACGATATTGTGGCATGCCAATTCCATATTTGACATTGACGACATTTATCACTCCAAACACGCATGCCCCTAAAACACCATGCCGCACCCCAATTTTTCGGGATTTTGAAGCCGCTCCGGGAGGGTGCGCCCCGACGGCCCTCGGCAGCCGGCCGTTTTTGCGAGCCGACCACGCACCGGCGAGAGCCTGATTTCGGTGTGTCCCCCGCCTAGCATTTGAGCACGATTTCGGCCGAATCGCCCCTTCCCTGTCGATTTCGGTGCCGAAATCGTCGACCAGATCTGATGAGCAGAAAATTGGTGCCGTGGGCTTGTGGGCGGGACAGAGCCGGGTGAGACAAGCGAAACAACGAGACAAAACGGTTCTCGCAATGTCTCGCTTGTCTCCCTCGTCTTTCTGGGAGGCCGGCCTGGTAAAAGAGAACTTGTCTTGCTTGTCTCGCTCGTTTGTCTGGGGGGTTCGGGCTGGTAGAATCAGAAGAGAGTTTGTCTCAACGTCCCGCTTGTCTCCCTCGTCTCTCTGGGGGGCCCGGGCTGGTAGAAGGGAGTTTGTCTCACTGTCTCGCTTGTCTCGCCCCTCTTTTGGGTGGCGGAGGGCACAGGGGGTTTTGCTTGGAGGTGTTCATGGCAGTAGTCTCGTTGGGCTCGCCGATTCTCGCAGTACCATTTTGTTTGAGTGCTTTCGTTTGTTTTTGTTTTTGGGTGTGGCTTTTGGTTCACGGCACCCTAACCCCCCTTCGTCCCCGCAGTAGGTTTGATCCACAGCTGCCCCGCGAATTTGCCGCCCTGGCCTCACAGCACCCACGGCCGTGCCTTCAAACTTCAAACTTCCTGTCGCCGCCGCCGTCACTGTCGTCGCAGCGTCGTCCGAGCCGAGCATCGAGCGCACGAGCCCTGCATCCTCGCCGCGTCGTCGGCGCACCTGCCCAGTCTGGTGACTGTTTTCGAGCGGTTTTAGAAGCTCCGGAACAATTTGAGCAGGCGTTGGCCCCGGTCAAGGAACAGCCGGTTTCGAGCGGTTTTTTGAGCCACAGCGCAGTCCTTTGGATCAGCTCTCGCACCCAGACGACGGATGCCGTCGAGGTCGTGCGTGCAGAGCCTCAAGGAAAAAATAATATGGAGTGAGAGTGAGGTGTGATTCGTTCTGCTACGCTCTTATTCAACTCATCTCTGCGCTATACAGACTTGCCTGCAGTTAACTGTCTCCACTGCTCGGATTGGGAGAGATCGTCCATTCCAGGCGAAATTTTTGTCCAAAAGCTTTCGCCGGGCCGTGCTGTCCATGACGTCCGCATTCAACCTGGTTTCGACCAAGCTGAAAGCACGTTTTCTGAGACAAACCCGTATTTGTAGACTCGGTTTCCCGACCAACCTGCACCTCACCCAATCCTGCGGTAAGGCCTTTTGCGCAGGTGCTTGATGGCGCGAGATTTGATATGTCCGCTAATGCAGGTGTTGGCACAACCCACAGAAGTGGAGTCTTGTCACTCAAGCAGTCAGCTGCAGCATTCATGAGATACAGCGCACCATATGTTTTGATAGACTGTTTGCCATTTTATCATGCACACATTGAGTATCCACGTTGTGAGACATGTTAAATGTCCTCTGCCATGAAGCGACCTGCAGATGATGGAGAAGAGCTACCTGCTAAGAAGCCTCGAACGCTGCCAGCTATAGGACAAACGGTTGAGGAAGACCATCATGTCTTCATTTCCCTAGAAGGTTATGCTGAGAAGGTTAGCGAATTGTTTGAACTCGGAAATAGTGTTGTCTTCATCCGCAGCGGCGTAGCCACCGGCAAGACAACACTGGCGGAGCATTTGGCGCGCCAGTTTCCGAGCAAGTTCGTCCTAGTGCCCTTCACTGGCGCAGGAAAGCAATCTGTTTGGACGATACGCACCATAGAAACTATCGAGAAAGCCACGGACAGCAAGATTGACAGAGATGATTTAGCCGTTGCCTTCGCGAACTCCCTGACGCTGGCGAAAGAGAAGGAGCTGACCCTCGTCTACGACGAGGCGCACACGCTTTTTGCGTCATCAGATCTATGCTCAGCGCTCTTCAAGAGCGACCCAAGGCATCGACCAAAGCTTCTGCTATTCTCAGCCGCAGGCGATGCATCCAGATCCGGAAATATCACAGAGTCGACACCTGCTGAAATCACCCAGAAGTTCATGTGGACGCCTCCCTTGAGCTACACGAAAGAGCTGCAGACTGAACTGAAGGAAGCGGGTGTGAGGCTGGACCAGAAGAGCATCGAGTTCTTCATCCATTTTTGCGGTGGACATCGTGGCATCTTCATCGCAGCAATGCATTGGGTGAGTACTGAACAAAGAGGGAAGAAGGAGGAGATCTGGAGCTTTGCGGAGACAGTGAGACTTGTGCGCAAGAGCTATGCCCATGGAGATTGGAACACGGCTGACAGGATTCTGAGCCATGTAAAGAAAAGTCGTGCAATCCATGTCAACGGTCGCTATCAGTCCTTAGATGCAATCCCAGAAGAATTTATTCGCCTGCTTTGTGGTGGTTCTTGCATGATCGAGGATGCAACTAAGAGAAGAGATTTGTGCATTCATGGCTTTATTTTGCCGAAGCATGAAGAAGACCACGAGCTCCAAAATGTGAACTGGAGCGACTATAGTACCAAGTACAAGGTATCCAATCCGCTCATGGCGTCCTACTACCGCCAGGTTCTGAAGCAGGAGCGAGCCTTGCAAGTTGCCTTTACGGAAGACAAACCGCAGCACTGTGCAGACCTACTGCTGCGAGCATTACCCTACCTTCTCTTCTCCAAGGTCGTAAGCTTCGCAGGAGACGCATCTGAGTTGGCAACGGATGGTTTTCCGATTGAGGCACAGTACACCCAAGCCATCCGTAGTGTACTGGAGGAAGTCGGCTACCAGCCCTTTGCCCCAGAGCTGTCAGACAAGGGTAAGGGGAAACCAGATCTTGTGGTGCATGTTGATGAGGAGACATTCGTCATGGAGGGCGCCAAGAGCAGGATCCAGGATCACCTTCATCGCTTTGAGACGCTGGAAATGTACAAGAAAGCCAAGCACAAGGGCCTTTGCATCATCAGCAACGATGGCGAGAAGATGCTCAAGACGGTGAGGGAGACTAAAGGAAGCGATGTCCAACTCATAGTCTTGGTCCCCAACATCGCCCACACCGCCTACACCGTTCACGTGAAGAGCAAGGGCATCGAACCCATCAACACCTTCAGCGTGGACTGCGACCTCGTGGCAAGGAGGTTGGTGCTCAAAGACGACGGCAAGCCTGAGCTCTACAGCGTCCAATCGCTGAAGAGCGTTAACCTGTCTCCAGAAGCTCAGAGCAGACGCTAGGTGAGAAGTCTGGTAGTATGGTTTTTTCTTTTGCCTGTCACCGTTCTCTGCTTCGATGTTTCGGAAGTAGGTTCTCTTGCCTTCGCGCATGTTATATGTGTGCTTCTTCGGAGTCCTTTTCTCTTGTTTGATCTGCAATTCTGGGCTCCGTTGCGTCCGTTATAGCACCCTGTGAGGCCCATCTGCCGGATCTGGAGGCACAAGAGTTGCAAGGTTTGAGACTCTTGCTCCAGGTGCTAAGACATGTGACCATGGAGGCTGGAGGATTCGAGATACCAGCCTTTGGCGTTCTGTGAGGCACGACCTCCTCATCCGTCGTCTGGGTGAGGGAGCTGGCCCGGAAGGACGGCGTTGTGTGCGCATGCAGTGTTAGCGCTGTGGTGGAGTTCTTGGCCGGGCTTGGTGGGCCCTGGCGCGGGGTGTGGGGGAGGGGCTGGGCTCGGGATTGCTGGAGCGAGTCTGTAAGTTTGCTGTCAGTTCTTTTTTGCAGCGATGACCTTCGACTTGCAGGACAAACAGCTCACGGCCAGGCCCTCGGAGGATACCGGTTGTGCATTCATATGTTGTCCTTGTTGTCGAAAGCTGTGCATTCTCCAAGACGGGTGGTTTATTTTGTTCGCATCTCTTTTGAAAAGTTGCCGACCCACAAATGAAGTTTGAGGATGGCGAGGAGTTTGAGCCGACGGGCAATGCGTTCAAAGTGAGAGGAGATTTGACTGACGCCGCGACCTTAGCTGCGCCACTGAATCGATTGCCTCAGTGTGTTTCTGTGTTTATGAGTGGTTCTCGCTTTTGACGTCAGGTGGATGACCTCAAGAAGGCCCTGCGCTTTCAACTTGAGCTTGGATTTAGCTCGGGAAGTGTTTGCAGAAGGGCGATGACAAAGATTGTAGTTTTGAGTGTCCATGCGGAATTGAGCTTTCATTTTCCACTGAGCCGTTGCTGAGCCTTGCTTGAGGCTATCAAGACCGAGAAGCCAAACCGAGTGAAGTGCGATGCAGATGAACTGGATATATACAGCCAGCAGGAGAGCATTTCACGTTAAATCCGCTCTGCCACGTAGGACCTATAGGCCTCCCTGTGCCGCATCTCAGCTTGACTTTGCAGGATGGGAACTGGGTGAAGGAAGACGAAGCCAATGAACTCAATCGCGGCACATCCAAGCCCAGCACTTGGTTTCGATGACTTTTCAGCTTAGGGGTTTTGCCGTCTCCCCGCTCGCAGGGAAGATTGCTACTGGTTCGTGCTGCCACAAAAGACGGACGATGTGTAAGGTGCATGCCTGTGCCTCAGCAGCGCTGGAGTTTGAGCACTGTGAACTTGCACCTCCTCGTCGTGTGAGCTTCTCGGCTGAGGTAGCAGCAGCATTCACCGACGCTTTTTTTTTGCGCTGCGGCTTTGCTTGACTTCCAGGATTAGCAGTCAGCAGTTCGACGCTCACATTTCTTGAGCAGGCTACGCCGTTCAAGTTTTCAAGTCAAACGGTGCATGCAACGGGTACAGGACCAGCGACAGATGCCAGCTGGTCAGAAGCAGTTTCACCAAGGGCTCTTAGTCGTGCTTGAGTGCACAGGGGAGCAGCACACGAGTCCACAGTCAAGCTGAGCCCGGAAGATCCCCCCCTCCTTGCGTGGTTACTTGGGTTATTTAGCTATAGAGTCAGACCGCAACAACAGATTTAGATACCTAGGGGACCTCCCTGCGAAATTAGGGTCGGTTCGATTCGGTGCATACAGGTGTTTAAAAGTCCTTTTCTATTTTTTAGAGGGTCCCTCCCGGTTCGCTAAGTCCCGAACCCTCGGATCCCGAACCCCCTAGAACCCCAGCCCCACTAGACTGCCCTGCGAGTACCCTTCCGCGTGTGTGTTTTTCTTGGTTGTCCCTAAGTCCCGAACCCTCGGATCCCGAACCCCCCTAGAACCCTAGCCGCGAGTGCCCTTCCGCGTGTGTGCTTTTCCCGGTTGTCCCACTAGGCTGCCCTGCGAGTGCCCTTCCGCGTGTGTGCTTTTCCCGGTTGTCCTTAAGTCTCGAACCCTCGGATCCCGAACCCCCTAGAAACCTGGCCCCACTAGGCTGCCCCGAGTCGCCCCTGCGCGCACAGTGTGTGTAGGGTTACCGGCTAGTGGGTGCCCCACGGTTTGAGGGCCGGTGTAGTTCCTTTTTTTTTTTTGGTTTGCCTTCCCGCACCCTAGCCCGAACCTCGTTTTGATGCTCTGGACGCTTGCCGGTGCTCTCGATGCTCTGTGGATGCTCTGGATGCTCGCCGGTGCTCTCGATGCTCTGTGGATGCTCTGGATGCTCGCCGGTGCTCTCGATGCTCTGTGGATGCTCTGGATGCTCGCCGGTGCTCTTGATGCGATGCTCTGGATGCTCGCCGGTGCTCTTGATGCGATGCTCTGGATGCTCGCCGGTGCTCTTGATGCGATGCTCTGGATGCTCGCCGGTGCTCTTGATGCGATGCTCTCGTCCAGAGGGGACCCCTGCTGAGACAATGAGACAATGAGACAACCGATCCCGGTATGCAGGCAGAGAGGTCCTGCTTGGGCCAGGAGGGGCTTCTGCTGAGACAATGAGACAATGAGACAACCGATCCCGGTACGCAGGCAGAGAGGTCCTGCTTGGGCCAGGGGGGACCCCTGCTGAGACAATGAGACAATGAGACAACCGATCCCGGTACGCAGGCAGAGAGGTCCTGCTTGGGCCAGGAGGGACCCCTGCTGAGACAATGAGACAATGAGACAACCGATCCCGGTACGCAGGCAGAGAGGTCCTGCTTGGGCCAGGGGGGACCCCTGCTGAGACAATGAGACAATGAGACAACCGCTTCGATGCCGTGATCGGTTGTCTCATTGTCTCATTGTCTCAACAGGGGGTCCTGGCTGTGGGGGCCGCAAATCTCACGCCACCCATCTGGTATCGAGGCGGTTGTCTCATTGTCTCATTGTCTCAGCAGGGGTCCTGGCTGTGGGTGCCGCAAATCTCACGCCACCCATCTGGTATCGAGGCGGTTGTCTCATTGTCTCATTGTCTCAGCAGGGGTCCTGGCTGTGGGGGCCGCAAATCTCACGCCACCCATCTGGTATCGAGGCGGTTGTCTCATTGTCTCATTGTCTCAGCAGGGGTCCTGGCTGTGGGGGCCGCAAATCTCACGCCACCCATCTGGTATCGAGCTCATTGTCTCAGCAGGGTTTCGGCTGGGCCCGAAGGTCATGGTGGTGCCGTGGGCCCGGGATTGAAATCTCTAGGCTGCCGCACCGCCAGTGGCACCGGCCGCCGAGTCAGCCGTGCTTTAGGCTCCGCAGAGCCGCGGGGCACCGGCAAGGCATGCTTCAGCAGGGTCTCCGAACCGTCGGTGGCCCGCACCGTCATCGAATCGTAGCTCGAAACCTCCCGCACCGCCCCGTACTGGGGCTGGAAGCTCCTCGCTGCATTCGTGGGGGCCCGGAACGCCCCCGTCTCCTCCAGCCGCCGCTGCCGGCTCCTCGTCAACTCATCGTTGTGCTTGAACTTGGCCGCGTTGTCTTGATAAACCCGGAAGCTCGCGGCAGGCTTCGTCTCCACGTCCTCAGGCGCAACCGTCACCGCCGCGTGCGGGCGGGCATTGTAGGCCTCCGTCGCTTCGTCCACGTGGTCGCCCCACCCGCCGCCGTGCCGGGCCACCTCGCCCGCCAGATTTTTGTTGAGCGTCTGAATCGCGCGGTCCACCACCGCGGTCGCATTGCGATCCGTCGGGTCCTTCTGCCGGTGCACCACCCCCCCGGGCAGTGCCGCCTCCAGCCCCCGGAACTCGTTGCCCATATCCGTGGTGACGACGTAATTCGACTCGTCCTGCACCAGCTGGGGGATGATCTCCGCCGCCGCCCGCGTCACCGTCTGGGCCGACTTGTCGGGCAGGGCCTTCGTGGCCACCTCCCGGGTGAACACGTCCGTGACCACCAGCCCGAACTTGTTGCGCCCCCGGGTGTTTTGGGAGAAATCGATGAGGTCCGCTTGCAGGCGGTCGTTGGGCCCCTCCGCCGCACTCTTCCCGAGACTCCGCGGCTTGGGCGCGAGGACCTGCCGCGCCACGTCGCTGCGCAGCGCCGCCGCGGCTCGTGCCCTCGTGAGGTCGCGTCGCTCCGGGAACTCCCGCCGGGCTATCTGATAGAGCTTTCTGGGATCCCTGACGTTAAAGTCCCGTGCCAGCTGCTGGAGCAGCCCGATCGCCTCCGCTTCTACCATTTCTATTCCGAGTCGCCCCTGCGGCCCTTCTTCTTCTCCAGTTTCTCGATCCGCTTCTGCAGCCTCTTGCACGTCTGCCACAGCACCGCCGTCATCCGCTGGTAGTCCAGCGTCATGAGCTCCCGGTCGTCGAAGGTCCTGAGCTTGCAGAAGCTCCTGCCCAGCCGGCCCGACGCGTCCACCTCCTGGGCCACGAAGCCCACCTGGTCGGCGGCGCCGTCGACGCGGTCGTAGCTCCGGGCCTCCACGCCGTCGAAGAGCTCCTGCGCCTCGTCCTCCGACACCGGCCGGACGTTCGTCTTGAGCCTGATCTGGAAGCCGTCCGGAAGCCCGAACCATTGACGTGCAGCTCTAGGGAGCACGGCGCAGCTCTCACTTGCAGAATCCACACTCTGCGTGTCTGGCGGCCCTGTGCATTGCCTTCTCGAGCATCGGCCCCGCGCGGCCTACCGTCCGTGGCTTTTCGGCAGGCAGCTACACGGCAGGCCTGGTGGGAGTGCTTCTTCGCAAATTATGGGGCGACAACCACTTCCGACCAGTGGTTCTGCCCGCCGTCTCCGGGCCGCCATACAGGCCGCCCCAGGTATACGTGTAGGCGGTATGCATTGGTTGATCAATGTACCGGCAAAGCTCTTTGGGCCTCAGTGCCACAACTACTCCTGCCTGCTCCTGCGCACTAGCCCCGCCCTGCCGGCCCAGGTGGATGTTACCGCCGCCCGTGCTTTCCTCCCCTTGCGTAGCCTGGAGAAAGAATTGGAGTGGGCCTTCCACTCTCTTCACTTTTGCCGTAGTCGGGGACTCGTAGATAGTGAGGTTGGCAAGGTTATGGCTGCCCGATTTTCGTTTTTTGAAACGCTGGACTTGGCATTGTCTCGCGCCTCAGGTTAGCTCTGACAGCAGGTTTTGCATCCGAGTGAAAACCAGCGAATGTGCCCTGCACTTCATGACATGTTTCTCGATTGATTTCGGGTCTTTTCCCCTTTCCGGGTCGCGAAACGATTTTTACTTGGCTTTCGACCCTTTCAAACCCTTCCCTCTGCCCAGTGCGTTTCCCCTCTCCCTTTGGAGCTTGCTCTCCACGGTGGGACGGGGCTTTGAACGTTTCCTGCATTGGCTGGGGGTTTCGTCGGGTTGGTCGATCGTTGACTCGGCATTTCCTTTCGAGAAAACATGTCGTTTTTGTGCGTGCACATTTCTCTATCTTTCGGAATGGAATTATATTTCGATTCCGACTGCTCCCATTTTGGGAATATCTTTCGGATATTTTTTCTATATCTATTTGACTGGGAACTTGAACGTATACGGACTAAGAGGGCTTCAAACGATTTTCGTTTTTGAAACGATTTGGTTTGCTAGCCCTCAAAGCCCGGAAGGCAATTTTTTGATTTTCAACACGTGCCTTTTTCCTTTGCGCATGCTTGGACGTGGCAGTGTTGAATTTCGCTTTCGTTTGCCTTTTTGGTTCAAGTTCCGTTCTTGGTCAAATTTTTCACGAGCCTTGAGATCTGACGTGAGTGCGTTCTCGGGGGGGCGCCACTCCGTCACACGTGACGTGTAAAGGGCTCTCTAGAGGCCTTGCTCTAGGGCTTTAGCGTTGAGCTGCCGGCATGGCGGCTCTTCTCTACTTGTCCATGGAGCTGTCTTTAGTGCATCAGGAGTCCCTGGCACGATCTCTGGCTCGTGGCATGAGTCGCTTCTATGCTGCATCTGCTGCTGATGACCGAAATGATGATGCACAGTCGCGACTACATCTTCAGGTGCCCGTGTCGGGCTTCATTGCTGATGTCCTGCCATTGAGCGACGAGGACATGACTGACTCGGTCGACGGCGACAGCAACGCCCTCCGTGCCGCCGATCGCAATGCTTCAGGTGCTACGTCCTCTGCTGCTGGAGATTTTTTGGACCCTGGGAATGATGCTGCACGTTGGGCTCGCCTTCAGAGGCTCCAGCAGGAGCGGCGGCCGCTCATGATTCCATTCGGCGATGAGGCTTCGGACGGTGATGCTCCAGGTTCTGCCGGGCCTATGGATACCAGTGGCTTCTCGACTTCTGGGTCACCAGTGACTGCTGTCGCTCCCAGCCTTCACGACCTTGCTCGCCGCCTGGATGTGGCTGTTGAGCGCCTGGATTGTTTTGAGGTTACAGTCGCTACTTTGACCCGCCGACTGGATACTGCTTTGGATCGCATAGGATTCATCGAAGATCATTCTCTTGTGCAGTTGGAGAAAATTCTCCGCGATCTTCGTCTGCGAATCTCTGAATGTGAATCCCATGCAGTGACTGACATCACAAGTCGCGATGAGCTTCGAGATGATCTCACTCGTCACGTTCAGGCTTGCAGCACCCCTGAGGCTCATGCCGGACTTCGGCGACAGCTGGCGCAGATTTCCCAGGATGTGCAGTTCTTGCTGGAGACACGCCCTGGGCCTCGAACTCCATGATGCCGTGACGGAAACAGGGCCGTGATGACTCATGTGGGCCCTGGCTGCTGGTTTTGGAACTTTTGGCACGTTTGCTGCGCAGCCGGGGAAGCTCGCCGAGCCGTACTTCCTCAGCTGTCATTTTGGCGGCGCGTTGCGTCCTCCAAGCTCCTACCGTGAGTGCATCCGGCTCTCCTGAATGAAAGGTCTTATGCATTCGCAGAGTCTTGCATTAACTGAAATTTCCTTTGAGCGACTTGTTGCTAAACCTTGGCTGTTTTCTGCTTCGGTATGCATGCACTCACTTGTGCCTTTAACGCTCGCCGGCTTTGAGTGTGGGCTGGGGTTTCGGGTCGGGCTTGGTGGTGGGCCACGCTGGCGCCGTTGCCTCAGTCTGAGCTGTCACGCCTGTGGTGCGTAGTGGCTCTCGGCCTGTTCTGCCCGATCTTTACATCTGTTCAGGTCGTGGTGACGCCGCTTGCTCGCGCTCGGGCCAGCCCCTTGTTTTGAGTCCCGGCGGTATTCCCTGGGATCTCACGTGACACACACAGGTCTGGGCTTTGACTGACGAGACTGGCCACGCCCCCAGATGGAAGCACTGGAGCCGTTCTTTTGGTTCCCGTTGTGCTTTCAGGTCTTCGTGACGGATCCAATTGGTGGGCCCGCTCCTCGTCTTGAATCCCTCTGGCTTTGCCTGGGGATCTCACGTTTTCTTCAGGTCGGTGCTACTCTGCTGTTGGACCTTGCGCCGTTCTCAGATTGAAACACTGGAACCGTAGCATTCTCGGTTCCCGTTGTGTTTCTGGCGGCTTTAGGTCCCTCGGCGTTACGCCGCGGTGGCACCTGGTTGCGGCGCTCCCAAGCCCACGCTTGGCTGGGACGGCGACTGTGCAGTAGGCCAGTGTGCTCTACGTTGGCAGGGCCTGTTGCGCATGTGAACCTCCCCCCACCCTTTTCTTTCCCACTTCTGTCAGGTTGGCCCTCTATGTCGCGGCGGAGCTCTTCACCTTTCTGCTTCAGGTTCAATCGGAGGCGCCCATACAGTGCTCTTGAGGATGATCCGATCGTTGATTCAAGCCCGCCTTCCTTGGGACATGCGTTGGTCCAGCCGGCCTGGGCCACTGCCTCGGATCTTGCGGAACTCGCCCAGGATCTTCGATTGTGTCTGTCACAGGCTGCAAACCTCGAGGGCAGGCTTCTTAATATGGAACATTTGGTGTGGCCTTCGAACTCTGACAGTTCTCTTTTGTCGGATGCTGCGGATCGGTTTCTGGCTATTGAACAGAGGGTCGCTGCTCTATCCGAGGGCTTGGATTCTGTGTCGCTTCATGTCAGCCAGACTGCTTTACAGACGGATGCATTGTCCTGGAGGTTGGATCGCTTGGAAACTCGTGTCAGGTTGCTCTGGGAAAATGTTGATGATCTGCGGTCGGCTCTGGGCCTATTGGTTCCAACGATCACCGGTGATCCCCAGGTGGCGGCGCAGGCACTATCAGATGCTCTCCCCGCAAGGATGGCACGGGCTGAACAGGCCCTCCAGTCATTGTCTCAGCAGGATACGGCATCAGGGTCCTGTTCACTCCTTGACCGTGTGGCTCGCCTTGAGTCCTTGGTGTCGCAGCTGCCGGCGATCTTGAGCTCCGATACCCATAGCCTCCGCTCCGACTGACAGGTTGTGTTTACCGGGCATCAAGGCGATTTTGGCAAACTGCTATGGAAAATTCTGCGATGCACCGGTTCTCTTTGAACCGTTTGCCTGGGCTAGCTGTGTTTGCCTGCGGATCAGCCTGTCGCTCTGACCTTTCTGCTAGGCTCAGGTTTTTGGGGTGGGTCTGCTTGCTTAGGGTCTCTCTGTATGATCATGGCCAGTCGCTGGCTGCCGGATGGAACGCCTCGCAAGCCGTCTTTTCCTGCACCAGTGCCGGCTCCGAGCCCGGCTCTGGCTCCATTGCTGCTACCTAGGTGCCACTGCGCGCCTTTGGCCTCGGAGCCCCCGGCTTCTGCACCGTCATTGGCGCCGAGGTTTCGTCCTCCGAGCTTTGTGGACTTGTCCGAGGTCTCTAAGGGTGGCTTTGCTCCGCTCCGCAGTGCAAGGGTGCTCCCAAACATGAAGGATTTTCCTCCCGCTCCGGCTCATCCTTACAAGCCGGCTGCACCGGGCACTATGTTGTCGGCTTGGCAGAATGCCAAAAACGAGCAGCTTAAGGTCTGGCTGGCACTGGCAGCCACAGCTGCTGCTGCCTCTGCAATGGTGGCCGAGCTCTTGCAGAGTCCAAATTCTTCGGTACTTCTGGTGCGCCTGGTTCAGGGGAATGCTCCGTCGACTCTCACCAACTACTTCGGACGTTGGAAACATTGGGTCGAGTTTTGCCAGGTCCAAGTCTGCCCTTCCTGAATGCGGTCAAGGATGCGGTCGACTCTAAGCAGCTCTCCTGGATTTCATGGCGACTTCGAACGAGTGAGTCAGATGAACAGGCTCTCACCGAGCGTCGTAAACCGCGCACGGACTCGCAGATGCTACAGTCACTGCTCGGTCCGGTCTCGGATGAACTTGTGGTGGATGTCCCGCAGCACCTCCCCCTTGAGTCTGTGATTCGTCGCTACCTTGACCGCATGTCTTATGCCCTCGCGGTTCTTGATGCATGCCACTTACTGACTCTGAAGAAACTCTCGGAGAAATTTGTGAGCCTGGCGACGGCGATTCCGATTGACCGTTCCCTGCGAGGACCCACGCTGGCAGAGGCTATGGATGCCGATCGTGTACTTTGGAGTGCCATCTGCTCCTTGCAGAAGGAATACGGCTGGTCTTTGCAGGATTGTGTCTCTGAACTGACACATGTACGATCGGACCTTCACAACGCTTTGGCTCCGCGGCCGAAGGTGCATCAGGGTGGAGGTGAGCCTCGCGGCAAACGCCAGCGCACTGAACCGCCGCCCGCTCCGCATCCAAATCCTCGAGCCAAAGCCAAGAGCAAGGCCAAGCCACGCAAGAGTGGGGATGCGGGTCCCTCCAAAGATCGCGTCTCCATCAGCAACTGGCCGAGCAATTGGGCTCGCCAGATCGGCGGGGTCGGTGCGTGTATCCGCTATCACACGGACAAGTGCAGAAACAAATCTTGCCGTTTCAGTCACAAGTGCCCGATCCTTGGAGCTGATGGGAAGCCATGTGGGGCTGCTCACCCTGCATCTGCGCATAATGCTGCCCCCCATTGACAGGCAGCGGTGGAGGATGGCATGGACCTTGATCCCCCGCCTGATTTTGCCCCTGTGGTCTCTGGGACTTCTCAGTCTGATGCTGAGTCCTTTGCAGATTCAATTTTGTCCGGATCAGTGGCCTTATCGTGTAAAAGCGTTGAGAGGCTCGCTGACCTTTTGCTGCAAGAAGCACCTGACCTTGACGATCGGTTCTCTAGTGGGGCTTCTGTCTCGGCTGGTCTTTACCATCGGATCAAGGTTGGCCTGCGCAAGGTATGCGGGTCACACCCTGCATCGGTGCGAGTTCTGAATTCGCTCATTTCTTCAATGTCACCTGGGTTTTTCCATTCATCTTTTGTCTTGATCGACGGCATTGCTTCAGAGGCGCACTGTGATACAGCCAACTCGGACCTGCCCAATGTGGTCATTCCCATCTCTTGTTTCTCCGGTGGTGAGTTGCGGGTTGCGCACCCCTCCGGGGCTGATGTGATGATACATGATGGCGTCAAGCACCCGGCTGTCTCTCTGCCTGTGTGTCGCGGCCCGGTGATCTTCACTGCATCGTCTTGCCTTCATGAAGTCCTGCCCTTTGAAGGCCGCCGTCTGGTTCTAGTGGGTTATACACTTCGAGCTTGTGAGTCGCTTGCTGCCGATTCTTCCGCCCGCCTTTCCTCCCTTGGGTTTAGGCCTCCTTCCCCTTCGGTTGTGAATGGTGCTTTGCCCATTGCCCCTCGTGCTCTTGCACTCACTGAGGAGCAGCGGGAATTGCTCCCACGGCCAAATTCTGTCAGTGCGGTCGGTTCTGGCCACCAACTCCGGACAGGGATTTGCCCTGACTTGCCCCAATTGCCCGATTCCGACTTTATCTGCGCCTGCAATTCGGGGCGTTTCTTTCTGGATATCTGCTCCGGGGCCGGTGCTCCTGTCAGCGCGGCCATGCAAGCCTTGGGCAAGGACTGCTTCCAACCTGTTGACATCATTCATTGCCAGGATTTCGACCTTCTGGAGGATGAATTTTTCGCTCAACTCCTGGCGCTCTGCTCCAGCGGCGTGGTGGGAGCGGCCATTGCATCTCCGCCCTGCGGGGAATTCAGCCTTCTCAAACTTCGACCGGGCGGACCACCCCCGTGCCGCACACCGGAGGAGCCGCTCGGGTGTATTTCCAACGATTGGCATCAATCTATGGTGGCTCAGAACAGTGCTCTACTTCATGATCGATGTCGGGAGCTTCTCTCCAGTGTCGCGGCTCTGGGAGGCTGCATTGTTTTTGAGCAGCCGCCATCCTCCATGACTTTTTTGACAGAGACAATGCAACAGTGGATTTCCAACACACTTTCATTCGGTGCCCAAGTTGCAGCCTGTCATCACGGCATGGATGTGTCCAAGCGCTGGCTCTTCTTGTCCAACAGGCCGGACATACTCGACCTCGCGTCTGAGTGCCATCATGGATCCCGGGCGCACAAAGCTGTGTGGGGGATTCGAGCAGATGATGGAAGTTTCCTTAGCCGAATGACGGCTGCGTACCCGGAATCGCTGGCGGCCGCTTTGGCTGCGCTGCTGGGAAGGTACACTTCATCTCAGGGCAGGCTGCTTCCATGTGCAGAGTGGCGCTCTGTTCTCCCCCTGGACCCGGTTTGGCCTCAGCTGGGTCGCCGCATTGAGGATGGGGCAGGTGTCAATAGTACAGCGTGCTGGATTACTCCCCAAGCCGATGACCACCTTGCAGGCCTTCGCAAGAAGTGGACGCAGCGTCTGGTCGACAGTCGTCTCTGCCTCCGCATCTGTTCCACGTTGCGAGCTGGTACGGATTGTCCACCAATCAGCGCGGAGGAGCTTCAGCCCTTTCTCGATGACCTATGTTGTTTTTGTGAGGTCCCTGCAACAGAGGTCGAGAATTTTCTGTCGATTCAACCGGGACAGCCTTTCCGCTTGAACGTCCTGGAGAAGCTGCTGGCTGTTACTAAAGACCCTGAATCGGATCTATGCCAGCATCTCCGGAAAGGTGTGCGCATTGGTGTGGACCACGAACTGCAGCCCTCACCTCATTGGCCACTTCGCACTGCAGATCCGATTATGTCGGACCTCGTGATTTGCGAAGGTTCTTGGAAAAGTGCCTCCGACCACCCGGATCAGGTCCGGGAGCTCCTGGCCCAGGAAATCGCTGAAGGCTGGATAGTGGAGAGACCTTCGGTTCAATACCTGCATGATCACTTCCCGGCGGTGGCTATCGGCAAACTTGGACTGGTTCTGGCTGAAGGCAGGTCGCCTCGACTCACGGTCGACAGCTCGATTAGTGGTGTCACGGCCGCTTGTCAGATTCCAAATCACATGCTGCTGCCACGCATATCTGACGTTGAGGATTGCGCTCCCTCCTGCCTAGGCCGCCAACCTTGGATCACGGTTTCTTTGGATGTGCGCAAGGCTCACCGCATGGTCATGGTGGAACACTGTGACCAGGCTTTGCTGGCCTTCCCCTTTGAGGGACGCGTCTTACGTCCAGCACCCTTAATTTCGGGGCCAGAGCATCCGCTTTTTGGTGGGCCAGAGTTGGTGGAGCCCTGCTTCGTCTGTCGCACGCAGCGATCTGGCTTTCACATCTGCTTTGGGGCTATGTGGACGATTTTTTGGGAGGTTTTCGCGGCGATGTGGCTCCGATCTCTGCCTCCATTTGGATTCTCTTGCTCTTAGCACTGGGAGTACCACTTTCTTGGCCAAAGTGTGTCTGGTCGTCGGAGTGCATTTGGATTGGATGGTCCATCAATCTTGAAAGCTGGGTTTGCGAGCTCCCGTCTGCAAAAATTTCCAAAATTCTTGATCAAATCGCTGAGCTACTTTCTGCTGGGGACAAGGTCAAGTTCAAAACTTTGGAATCACTCATTGGACGCCTCTTGTGGGTTACAGGCTTGTGGACGGTGCTTCGGCCTCTGCTGTCCCCGTTATATGCAGCTCTGCAGCGCTTGCCAGCTTCCTCGGTTGGTGTCAGCCCTGAGCTGTGGGCTGCGATCAAGCGCAACATTGCGGAGGATTGTGTGCTGACCCGCTCGGTTGGGCATCCGTCCTTCCATAAAGGTGCTTGCATCACTCGTGCGGTCAATACGTTTGTGTCTTGCAAGCAGGATCTTGATCAGGTGCCATTCAGGAAGCGCCGATTGTGGGTCGAGGTTAAGGATCCTGGGCATCCGCTGCGAGTCCTCGGGGATGTCGGCAGGTCAAGCCTAATTGCGTGGCGTGCCATCTTCCAGGGAACCCCATTCTTGAAGGCGCTTCGCAGCCCGCTCCCGCTGAAGGTCATCGCGGAGGCGGATGCCTTTGCCGATGCGGAGGTGTCTGGGTTAGGAGGCTACGCCATGTGGCCCAGTGGTCGCACTGTCTGGTTTTCCATTAGAAAAGACAGTCAGGAGTGGGCTGCTCTCACTTCGTGGTTCCCTCCGCCCCTCCAGGCTCATATTTCGGCGTTGGAACTCCTGGCTCAATTACTGCTGCTTTGGTGTGTCTTCGCCACTCTGCCTTCCAATCGGGGACTCTGTCGGGCTTGCCTTCGTTCGGACAACTCCGGTGCAGAGATTGTCAAGAAGTTCCTTGCTTTTCAGGCGTGGTCTGGTGTACACGCTGAGGTCGAGCATGTACCTGGGTATCGCAATGAACTTGCAGATGCGCTCAGCAGGCTTACGCCGAATGACATTGCACCATTGTCCCTGGGTGACCGGGTGCATCCGCCTTTGCAATGGCTTCTTGAGCAGCGGCTCTTTCTTGAACCCGCTCGGGCCGCGTGGCCGCCTCCCTTCAAGACTTGGATGAGTAGTCCCTGAGTGCGATGTTTATTATCACTTCCACTTGTTTGCAGGCCTGTGCGCCAGCGGCGAAAATACATCGCGGTACGCTTCTCTGTGTTGTCTGGAGCCTTATTGCAGAAAGCTGCTCTTTTGCCATGCCGTGCACGTGTGGGAGATGTGCGACCGGATGATCTTCAGCACGCTTGCTGACGTCGATCATGCGTGCCGCCCCGGCCGTGTTGCTGGTTGCCGGCTCCTTCTTGCACTCTGATGCGGACTTTGAGCTTCGGCTTGACGGAGTCCGTCCTTAAATCTGTGATGTATGACTGCTGCCGGCCTCGCTTGCCTTCCGCAGTCTTTTGCTTACAGTATCCAGGGTCTTCTTGCATGGCACTATCATGTCGGGCCACTCGGAGGAGTCCTCTTCCCGTCTGCCCGGCGCTGCTCCAGAGTCGTCTCCATTTTCGGGGCCGGTTCTGCGGGAAGCTGATCTTGGAGCGTTGGGGGCCAGTCCCCCGCCGTGTCTCCAGTGTGATCTCCTTCGTGCGGAGGTGCTGATGCTACGTGCTGAGGTTGCGAGCCTGCGCAATTCCAGCTTGGCTGCACTCTGGGATGCGATCTATGCCTTGCAGGGCCAGCTCAACGAGGTTCGCCCACGTGGCGAGGATGACCATTTTTCATTCGTGTTCACGGCGGTCGAAGAGAACACCGCAGCTCGCCTGCTGCGCTCGCCTTTGGCGAATGTTCGCTGCCTTCGCTATCATGAACAACGTCTGGACGCTCTTGTCAATCTCAATGCTGACATCGAACGTCGACTTCGCTCGCTGGACTTGGCATTGTCTCGCGCCTCAGGTTAGCTCTGACAGCAGGTTTTGCATCCGAGTGAAAACCAGCGAATGTGCCCTGCACTTCATGACATGTTTCTCGATTGATTTCGGGTCTTTTCCCCTTTCCGGGTCGCGAAACGATTTTTACTTGGCTTTCGACCCTTTCAAACCCTTCCCTCTGCCCAGTGCGTTTCCCCTCTCCCTTTGGAGCTTGCTCTCCACGGTGGGACGGGGCTTTGAACGTTTCCTGCATTGGCTGGGGGTTTCGTCGGGTTGGTCGATCGTTGACTCGGCATTTCCTTTCGAGAAAACATGTCGTTTTTGTGCGTGCACATTTCTCTATCTTTCGGAATGGAATTATATTTCGATTCCCATTTTGGGAATATCTTGCGGATATTTTTTCTATATCTATTTGACTGGGAACTTGAACGTATACGGACTAAGAGGGCTTCAAACGATTTTCGTTTTTGAAACGATTTGGTTTGCTAGCCCTCAAAGCCCGGAAGGCAAGTTTTTGATTTTCAACACGTGCCTTTTTCCTTTGCGCATGCTTGGACGTGGCAGTGTTGAATTTCGCTTTCGTTTGCCTTTTTGGTTCAAGTTCCGTTCTTGGTCAAATTTTTCACCCACCACCATCCCCTTGCACCTGCCTTGGGGGTAGTTGCGGTACGGCTTTCGACCCTTTCAAACCCTTCCCTCTGCCCAGTGCGTTTCCCCTCTCCCTTTGGAGCTTGCTCTCCACGGTGGGACGGGGCTTTGAACGTTTCCTGCATTGGCTGGGGGTTTCGTCGGGTTGGTCGATCGTTGACTCGGCATCTCCTTTCGAGAAAACATGTCGTTTTTGTGCGTGCACATTTCTCTATCTTTCGGAATGGAATTATATTTCGATTCCCATTTTGGGAATATCTTGCGGATATTTTTTCTATATCTATTTGACTGGGAACTTGAACGTATACGGACTAAGAGGGCTTCAAACTCTTCCCGCACCGCGTCACCGAGGAGTCGCTCAAGCGGCTGGGCACCGTGGACTCCCTGCCGCAACGCCTCCTCGAGGCAGTCCGCACCGTCACAGCACCCTCCCTGCCACCCTGTGTTGCAGCACTGCGCTCCTGGATCATTCAGGAAGTCAGGCTTAGATTTAGATGCTATGAAGAGGATAAGGCGGTCAACCTACCCTTGCCTGCACCGGTGCAAACGTCTCTCGGTGAGCTGTCGCTCGAGCGGGTTGTGGATTTTCTGCACTTTCATGTTTACAGCCAGGGCGCTGCTCTCGAGGATACTGGGCAGGAGAACCGGCGGATGTCGCACCAGGACACCACCCGACGCTTCACCCAGGCACTACCGGTTGTGCTGAAGGTGGAGGACTGTCTCAGCTTTGGCACATACGTGCTTGGCTTGTCGTGTCCCAATGGCTTTACACCATCGGAGAACACTGGCTGGTTCTCGCATCGCCAAAGCGGTAACCGGCCGCCCTCCGAGGGTTGTCTTCTGCGGTTAGAGTTTCGCCGAGGGCAACTCCTGGCGGTCTTTGTAGAACTGGTAGTCCCTGACCGGCTCCGTGGAAAAACCCGCGAGCAACGCAAGGTCGAGCGGCGCCAAAACCGCCTTAACCCCACGGCTGCCCTCCTGCTCATCCGCCAGCTTCTTTTCTTGGGGCCCCTCCACAGCCTGATCACGTTTGCAGCTGGGATCTTTCCCTTTGCAGTCTGTCGTGCATTGAAGTAGGGGGGGCTCTAGATGTATTTCTGCAAGTGCTCAAAATGCCTGAGGCGCGTGTTCCCCTGGCCATTGGCATGCCCATCCGACCATGCACCCAGCCTGCGCCGAGGCCTCGGTGCCATTTCGCTTCTGAGGTGCACCTTGTGTTGTCGTTCCTCCAAGCGGTGGAGTCGGCTGCCCGCGCCCCTCACTTTCCAGCTGCCCCAAATTTCAAGCCGGCCGAGTTTGTAGCGCTCAAGAAGCGCATCCTTGCCCTTGCTAAACCGGGTTTCACCCTGTAGATCTGTCCGGAGCTAGCCGACGGGCGGGGGGGGGGGGTTGTTGTCTGAGGACTTGGATCTTAGGCGGATCCCGTGTTCTTGCTTGAAAGAAAATAATTTCCTCGGTCAGATTTTGTTTTCTCCTTTTGGCATGAATTTCTTTTGAGTGATTTCGAACCATCTTATTTCAGATCAGTCTTGCCGTATCGCGAAGTTGAAGCATTGAACAGGTAGCCACGTCAGGCTCAGGCCGTGGCCCGATAAAATTTTGTTTAGGAAGGGAGCAAAAGTCTCCCTCTCGGGACGTGCTATGGATCTCGAGTGGCCTCCCCTCCAAGGGGAGTTGCTGACGAAGCTGAAGTCATGCTTTGCAAGCCCCCGGCAGCTGCATTATGATTTTGATGATAGCGAAGGTGCACGGAAATTGGTAGAGGTGCTGGTGCCAGGATTGGGGGCAGGCAATGTTCAGCTTGCAGTGGATCAGTTGGTCAAATGGCATAAGGAGGGCGCGAGCTCAGTGTTGCGTGCCAAGAGAATTGCAAGAGCAGGTTTGTCGGAGAGCTTGGTGGGGCAGCATACCGTCCCTGCATCCACGATTTCAGAGGCATACGATAAACTTGCACATAGCAATCCTCTCTCGCTTTTGCCTGCGATCGAAAGGGCCAGAAAGGCAAGGGAGAACAGCGTGGATCCATCAAAGAGGGCGGCTGAGGAAAGGGCTGCTAAAGCCAAGTATGCCACTCTCTTGTACAGCTTCTTGGTTGAGGCGAGGGCACCAATAGTGGATATCTTGAAGGAAGTCACCGATTCTGAAGAGGCATGTGTGCGCATCTTTGGAACACGAAGGTCAAAGACTTTGAGGAATCGCTTTCACTCGTGGGGCAAGTTCGCGAGATGGCTGGAGACTTCGAAGGGCCGCGTCTGGCCTGCCGGGCTGCAGGATCTCTTGGATTATGCTACTGAAGCTGTGAAGGAGGGCGCTGGTAAGACGACCATAGATTCTTTTTCAGCGGCACTTTCTGTACTGGAACAGGTCGGACGTTTCGGGGAAGGTGATATGCTGTCAAGAGATCCAACGTGGATTTCGTACAGTAAGAATGTTACTGCAGAGCTGGTGGAGAAGGGGCCGATGTTGCACCAGGCGGCCCAGCCTACAGTAGCGATGGCGCTTTCACTCGAGCTTTACGTGTTTGACGAAGATAGAGCAAGATATGCAAGGGCATTGGCTTTTGTTGCACTTCTGATGCTATGGGGGAGTATGAGGTCCGATGACGTTCAGTGCATGAGGCCAGAGAGCATGCGACTCACTATAGAAGGACTGTCTTGCAAACTTTGGAAGACAAAGACGACGGGCCCAGATCGAAGGATCAACATGGTGCAGGTCTTCATATCCCGCAAGGCCAGTCTCTCTGGCTTGGATTGGCTGGCAAAGGGGCATGAGATTTGGTCAGAGATCAAAGACAAAAGGGATTTCTTGGTTTTGCAAGCTTCAGAGGATTGGGAAACCTGCGGCAACAAAGGGGTCGATGCCCCTGCAGTGTCACTCTATGTGCGAAAGATTTACAAGGAGCTTTGTGTTCCGCGCTGGGTCGAGGGCCGCTGGATACAGAACAAGGAGCGTCTGTTACTTCCGGGGGATTGTGCGCTGCATTTCTCTGGACATTCAGCGAGGAACTTTCTTACTTCGATCGCTGCAGCCATCAGGGTTCCTAAGGACGACAGGGACTTTCTTGGACGCTGGAAGGTCGGTGGAGGTGGCTCTGCTGACTACACAAGAACAGCTCGGCAAATAGTGCATCGCATCCAGGAGCAGGTTGCAGAGACTGTCTTGCTTGGGAGAGAGCGGGGCTACGTGGAGGCTGATGCTTTGGATGCATTGCAAAGTTTCGCAGAAGAGCGAGGCGAGATTGGTGCCGTGGTCAGGGCAAGGCATGAGCTCGTTAGAGCAAACAAAGTTGGGGGAAACCCCCGACTTGGCGGGCGCTACCCGCCCCTCTACATGCAGAGCATCCCCGGACCTCATGTGATCACTGAGGAGGCAGCGGAGGACCAGCCGGAAACCGCCGCTGCACCGAAAGGGGAGGCTAAGTACTTTATCAGTGTAAGTAAGAAGACAGGATTCCGCAGACTGCATGTGAATCACGCGTGCTATGTAAAGCCCTTCAAGTGTCAGGATGTCGTATACCTTGATCAGGTTGCTGCCACGGATTTCGATGCAATTTGTAAGGATTGCAAGCTCAGAATCAGGTCGATGGCCGATGACAACAAGGCCGAAGACAGTAGCTCAGGGGAGGCAACCACTTCCTCGAGCGATGAAGGACTCCTTTAAGGCTTGCTGTTGACCTTGATCGCAGGCTTGCAACGGTTTCGTGGCGTAGATCCCACTTGACTTGAGCCGGTTTTGGAACATGCTCAAAAGAGGAGTTCATGCCAGTTTGAATCGACCGTCTTTGAAGTTCTTGTCGCTGACAGACGCACTGCTTCATGTACCGAATTGAGCGCTCAGGCTGTTGTGGGTTGCGCGCAACGACATTTACTGATCTCTGCAGTGCATCAGGGTTCAGACCTTGGGAAGCTGAAGCAAAGGCCTGAGGGCGCTCAGCGGGGAAGCCAGACCGTAGGCTGCAGAGCAAAGGCCTCGAGGGAGGCGCTGAAGATCCGCATCAGGGATGGCAGTCACAGAGGCAGAGATGCGTGAGAGAGTCAACAGTGTCGATGCCGATCTGCAATATGTATTGCAGGAGGCCGGGGCATCACTCGCCACACAGTATGCAGTTTGCAACGTGCACAGCACACTTCGCAGATTCCAGGCTATCGCTGATGATCGTGCAGGTTCGCGCACGGCTGCGAACACAGACTTTGGAGTGCCAAGAGACACGCCTGCAGGGCGTCAGCAAACGGCTGCTATAGTGGCAGCGTGGGAACTTGCAAAAGAGATTAGCTCCAAAGAAATTGAACTCCGGGCGGAGGCCCGTGCACTCAATCAGCCCAGGATCTTGCAGACCCAGGAAAGGCAGGCCATGCTGCGCGCGGTTTCGGCCGCCTATGGCAAGCTCAACGAGGCCGAAACACCTAGTGCAGAGTACTTGGCTTTGAAAGCAGAGGAGACCGAGCAGAATGAGCCGACTGCGGCACAGCTTGATACTATCACTTCGAAGCGAGATTCTCAAACAGCCACCATCCAGTCTAGTGTTGATCCTGCTGGACATTTGCGCATCACGAAAACCAAGCAGAAAGTCGAGATGCCTCAAAACTCTGAAGCTTACCGGAGAGTCTTGAAGATTGAGGGTTACTCTTGGTTGGCAATGCAGTCCAGGTATAAATCTAAGACTTGGCTTCAGGGCTTGACGATGGCAGATTTCACCAAGTTCGTCGACTACATTCTCGGCGAGCGGGTCGCGGGCCTCAGATTGGAGCAGGCCACGGGCTACGACAGTAGCCACAATGCACTCTTCCGACCCCCATGGGGGATCGTGCTTCGCTATGAGTACAAGTTGAGGAAAGAAGCTTTCAGGCTAGTGAATGATGAAGGTCAGACGCTTCAAGATGCTTTGGCAGCCGTGACTAAGGATACCGAGCTTAAAGAAGTTCATTTTGTCACTCCCCTAACCTTGACCGCTTTCCCCATGCCATCAAAGTGGACACGCAGGGGGGAGAAAGGTGACAAAGGTGGCAAAGGCAAGGATCCTAGGACAGGGAAAGGCAAGCAAGGGAAAGGCAAAGGCGAAGAGAAAGGTGCATTCAGAGGCCTACAGCTCGTCTGGAGGACACCGGATGGCAAAGACATCTGTTTCGCATACAACAATCAGGGTTGCCAGGGCAACTGTGGGCGCGCACACGTGTGCAGGGTCAAGGGCTGCTATAAAGAACATCCGGCCATCCGCCACCAGGAGCTTTCGCAAGGCAACAACAAAGCCGAGTGACGGTCCCCAGCCGCTGGCCTCAAAATCATGTGCTTCGGTCTGCCCTCCGTGCAGGCATACCTTGCTTTGCAGCCTGGGGTCAGCGAGTGCAGGGGATACGAGTTTCACAATCCTGACTTGATGACTGATCGGTTTTGGGATTCGATTCTGCAGTGCTTGTGCCAGGGAGATTGGATTTTCTTGGCAAGCCCGCCACTTGAAACGATGTCGCGGGCCAGGCATAAACGGCCAGGGCCGGCCCCACTCAGGTCGGAATCCTGGCCCACAGGTTTTCCATGGTTGTCAGACGACAATAGAATTAAAGTTGAGAAGGCAAATTCCTTGTTCCAGCGATGTGTAGAAGCTGCATCCGCCTGTGCATCCGCAGGAGGCTGCTTTGTGCTTGAGAGCCCTGAGGATTTGGGTGCCACCAAGGACGGTGAGCGGCCAGCGTCATTTTGGCAGTTGCCTCAGGTGCGCGACTTGCAAGTCCAGCATAATGCCACAACTTGGGCATACTTCCGTTGTGCGTTCGGTGCACCCACTGCTAAGCCCAGCCGCTTCCTGTGTAATTCCGAGAAACTAAAACATCAGCTGCCACCAAACAGCGTTTGGCCCACATTCGATGCGGAAGGCTGCTACACGGGCCCGCTTCCACCTCGCTGCCCTCACAGCCATCATCCGAAGCCTTTGGTAGGTCGCCAAGGTCGTAATTGGAATACGGCCTCCTCTGTCGAGTGGCCGACAGCTCTGTGTGATTACCTCTTGCATTCCATCCTTCCTTCGGTGCTGCGCACAGGGGGGGACGCAGGAAGGAATGCTGGCCCACCAGAGGGTCCCTCCGTTTCGGTTTCCCCGGCTGCTAGTGGTTTAGGCCCTCAGGCAGATAGTGGTTTAGGCCCCGATTCTTCGGAAGCACATGCCCACAACGCCGAGGCTTTAGCTTGTGAGATCCTTTCGAAAGGCGAGGCGCCCCGCGCCGAGGACATCATTCGCTTGTACGAAGCTTTGCCGAAGGAGGTGTCAGCCCGTGACCCTGAGGGCCGCATCCCGAGCTCCTTCTCCACGGGTGCCTACAACAAGGGAGGCTTGACAGGCCTGAGGAAGGCATGCCACGATTTCCCGCTGGCCACCAAGTGCTTGGTCCGTTTTGTTCGAAGCATGCGTCCTTTCCATCCTTTCAGCACCATCAGCATTTACGACAATGTGTGCACTGCCCTCCATAAGGACAGCCGCAATGCTTGCTGCGAGAACTTGATAATCCCTCTTACCCAGTTTTCTGGGGGCGAGTTGTGGATGCAACAAGACCAGGGTGCTACACCTCAGATCTTTGGGGGCTCTGAAGTGTTTGGGACGGCAGTGCCGATTCCCCCAGAAGGCTTGTGCTTCGATGCTCGTGGCATCTTGCATTGCACTATGCCTTGGAAGGGCCGCCGACTGATTGCCGTCGCATTCACGGTGTCGAAGACTGAGGAGCTGAAGAAATCGGATGCGCAGCTTCTTGAGGACCTTGGAATCAATTGCCCTTCCGCAAGCCAGTTGACAGGGAGGACCTTGGATGCCGGGGAGCTGTCATCGACGGAGAGCTCTGAGTCGGAACACCCGTCTGGTGGCAAGGACCAGCAAGCAGACGATGTCTTCAGACCAGAGCTTTGTGGCAACTTCGGAAACCCCTTGATGCTGGAGTGGGACGGGAGAGAGTCGCCTATCACTGACGGCTATGGCCTTTGTTCTCCAACGCGTTGGCATCCTGCCTCCCGTGGAGCATCGCTACCAGAGAAATCAAAGGACCTGTCGAGACGCTTGAATGGCTTGGTGCAGCAATTTGTCGCAGAGCAGGTGCCAGATTGCCAGTTGCTGGCACTCAAGTTGGCCACCGGACAGATTCTGGAATCGCCTTTCGAGGAGGGTGCAATGCGACGCCTTCGCGAGGACTGGGCTGCACTTGTATGTGAGACGGATGGAGCCAAACACGAAGGTTTGCTGGAAGTTCCTGATCCTCAGCCTTTCTACCTTCGGTTGCTCTCGCACACATCGCGCTTGCTGGAAGATCCAGACTGGAAAATCTTGACAGAGGGCGAGGAGTGCTTTGAAAAAGGTGTCCCATTGGGCTACGACGAGACCATACCTAGGGTCCCGCAGGTTTTCGATCGGAAGGTCAAATGGAGAAAGCTTGATGAGAGCACCTTCGAGGCTGTCAAAGAAAATTAGCAGAGCGCGAAGTTCACCGTTCAGGAGATGGAGCTGAAGTTCAGGGAGGAGGAGAAGCTTGGGCGGATGTACCCTACCACTTACTCCGCTTTGGCAGCCGAGCATGGAGCGGACAGGGTTCGTATAGCGGCGATGGGGGCGGTCGCCAAGCCAGACGGCAGCGTCCGTCCCCTACATGATGGCACCCACGGGGTGAGGATCAACAATGGCATTCGCTTGCTGAACCAAACGGCCACGCCGGGCCCTGCGGAAGTGGCACACGCAGTGAGCTCTGCTAAACGATCGCGCGAGGCAGCCTTCGGAATCTCAGCTGACGTGAGTGCAGCGCACCGGCTTGTCAAACACAGGCGTCGGGATCACCCCTTGATGGCATGTAAAGCAGATTCTTCAAGCACCGTCGTTTGGGTCAATGTTGTAGGAACATTCGGACTGAGCGTCGCTTCATTTTGGTGGAGCAGATTGTTCGGGCTCGTGGGCAGAACAGTCGCCCGAGCAATGCTTCAGGAATGGTTCTATCAACTTTGCTTCGTGGACGACATCCACGGTGTGTTCACTGGAGCACATAAGTTCCGAAATCTGGTGATGTGGTTCGTCTTGTACCTTGCCTTAGGGACCCCTTTCTCCTTTAAGAAGTTTCGGGGAGGTTTTAAGGTTCCTTTCGTAGGCTTCGAGCTCGACTACCGATCATGGCAAGTTGGCATGTCGGACTCTCGAGGAGCTTGGATCGTTTCGTGGATCAAGGATGCCAGGACCAAACGCTTCGTGGTTCAGGTCCGACTCTTCAGGGAGTTCCTTGGCCGGTTGGGGTTTGTTTCTAGGATAGTGGTTTGGATTAAGCCTCACCTTGCTCCACTGTATGCGTGGGCATCAGCGGTGTCCCGGAGCACCGTCGCCAAGTTGCCCGAGACTGTCATCTTGACACTCCAGTACTTGGAGAAGACGCTTGATGAGTACACTTTTAAGGTTAACCCATGCCGCAAACCCAAACACCAGGTCGCGGGCTTCAGGACAGATGCAAAGTGTGCCGACGGATTCGTCGTGTTGGCCGGTTGGGAGCTAAGTGATGACACCAAAAGTTCAAAATGGTTTTCGCTGCGCTTGACACCGAGTGACGCACCATACTTGTTTGATCAGGAGGGGAAATCACAATGGGCATCAGGCTCAGCAGAACTGCTGGCAACATTGGCGGCCCTTCACGTCTTCGGATACTTGACCGCCTCTGTGGACAGAAAGGAACTGGACGTCGAGTGCGCGGCGGACACAGACAATCAGGGCAACTCGAGATTGCTCAAGAAGGGGTCCTCAACCAAGTGGCCCCTGATGTTGATCAACATGCAGTTGTCTGATTTGCTTCTTCGCTCTTCCTTGAAGCTCCTCCTACGGTGGAGGCCACGCGATGAGAATCAGTACGCAGACCAGCTTACGAATGAGATTTTCTCTAACTTCTCGGACGAACATCGCATTGCATGCACATACTCGGATTTGCCTCTTGCGCTCCTGCATCAGTTGTGGGAGACAAAAGAAAGCTTCGACTCAGCACGAAGGGCTCAGGCCGTGCTTCAGCAGGATGCCTCGGGGCATCGTCCTCAGAAGAGGAAGGCAGAGAAAACACCTTGGTAGTGCGTCCCTGAAGGGGAAAGGGGGTGGGATGCATCAACATGCATCCGCCCTACCAAGGGCACCGCGAGACTACCAACCGCTGCGAATAAAATGAGTGTCGTCCGAGTGCTCTTGATTGCTCGACGTATTTCCTTTCGCATGTCACATATTTATTCCAGTTGGATTCATTTGGAAGATACGATATCTGATTCTCATTTATAGAAAGACGTTTGTTTTAGTTTGCGAGGCTATTTTTGAAAGAACGGATAACCCCAACCTCTAACCACGAAGCTAAGCGAAGGACAGGCTAAACCGGGTTTCACCCTGTAGATCTGTCCGGAGCTAGCCGACGGGCGGGGGGGGGGGTTGTTGTCTGAGGACTTGGATCTTAGGCGGATCCCGTGCTCTTGCTTGAAAGAAAATAATTTCCTCGGTCAGATTTTGTTTTCTCCTTTTGGCATGAATTTCTTTTGAGTGATTTCGAACCATCTTATTTCAGATCAGTCTTGCCGTATCGCGAAGTTGAAGCGTTGAACAGGTAGCCACGTCAGGCTCAGGCCGTGGCCCGATAAAATTTTGTTTAGCCCACCCAACCCACCCTGGAATGCCAGAGCATTTCCGAGAATAGACCGTTCCATGCCGCCGGGGGGTGGGATGCATCAACATGCATCCGCCCTACCAAGGGCACCGCGAGACTACCAACCGCTGCGAATAAAATGAGTGTCGTCCGAGTGCTCTTGATTGCTCGACGTATTTCCTTTCGCATGTCACATATTTATTCCAGTTGGATTCATTTGGAAGATACGATATCTGATTCTCATTTATAGAAAGACGTTTGTTTTAGTTTGCGAGGCTATTTTTGAAAGAACGGATAACCCCAACCTCTAACCACGAAGCTAAGCGAAGGACAGCATCCAGTGGCTAAACGCAGCAATCCTCGGGATCCTTTCTGCAAGCACTGGCGCTTGCCTGCGACATTGATCCCAGCGGAGTTGCACACCTTGGCCGCCCTAATGGGACAAACATTTTGCCGCCACATCGACGAGTTACTCAACAGTCCGGATGGACTCCTGTGTGGACACATATCGGCCATCCTGGCCGCCCGGGCACAAGGACGCAGCTCGCTTAGCATCTTGGGGTGCGCGGGATCTTCCAAAACTTTCTCCCTGTGGTGCGCCTTGGTCTACATGGACGCTGTGTTGGAGCAAACTGTGTTTTGGACAGCACAGCAGCATTCAGCGCTCATCGCGGTCGTGCGTATCGCCTCCAACCTCTTAGCCGATGCCCCAGAATGGCTGCGCCCGCTCGTTGTTGTGCGGAGGGTCTCTGGCGATGCGGAAATGATCGACCCGTCCTTTGACCATGTGCCCTTCACTGAGGCTGCTGAGCACCAGGCGGCAGGGCTTGGGGACATTGCCACGGCTCAGCCGGGAGTAACGGGGCGCAGTGCGCGTCTTGCCTCCCCTTCAGTCAGTAGTGCTCACATGCTGCTGCTCACGCAGGGGTCGGCCGCACTGCAGCTGCGATATGCCTCCTACAGTGAGGTTAAGACTTTCCTCAACAACGCGCATGTCATCGTGATTGATGAGGGGCAACAGGAGGGACAGCCTGCATCGGCTGCCATCCTTGCTAATGCAGCAGGCCAGCTTGTCATCCGCACGGGCGACCCACGACAACCTGCTGGAGGCGGCAAAGGTGAGGTTCAACTGCGCACGTTGGCTCGACTCATCGCCAAGCCCGTTGGCATCCGTGGAGTCGCCCAGCTGGCCCCGCAGCCAGTGTCTCCGGGGCGACTCGCCGCGGCACTTCGAGGCTTGGTGCAGTCTACCCCGCTGGGACCACTGCACACAGTCAGGTGGACTAGCTAGCCTGGGACATCGCCACAATGGCCATCAGGGCGCTGAGCCGCCGCCGGGCACCAGTCTCGCCGTCTGCCGGGAGTTGTCGGAATGCCTCTTTGGACTTGAGGACGAAGTTGAGGTAAGTCTTGACTTGGATCTTCGGGAGCTCCGTGGATGTCGGGTAACCCGACAAGGGCTGAAATACTTCATCCCTTATTCCGGCATCACCAAAATAGGCGATCGACTGTGTCCACACCCCGGCCGCCTCACGCCAGCGGCTATTGCGGTGGATTTCCTCCACCAGTCAGCGTCCCATAGTGAAGCGATCCTGTGTTACCTCAACCGTCTGTCTGCCGTCGGAGCAATACTTGCACCGGCCAATACAGCTCTGCAGGCTGAGGGCCTAGCCCCTATTAATGGGGTTTGCTTGAACTTGGCCCTGGTTGCCTCCACCAGGCTGCTGGCCGATCTTTATCTGCTTATTACTGCCGTCCGGTACCCACAATCCATTGTCATGCACAAGGCCTCTGACGTCTCTCCGTGCCCGGTTAGCATCGGCGAACTGGCAGCGGATACCGCTGCACGGCGACTTCAGCGAGTTGCGGCGGATGGCTCCCATCAGCCGGGAGTGTACTTTATCCGACTACCGAAGCAGACATCCTCGGCCATGCACCAGGGCGGCCTCGTGGAATTGCTCTGTGTCCTTCTGGTCCTCGCTTACAATGTCTGCGGGCATCGTTTTGCTGTCCAGGCCGGAAGGAAAATCACGGTCGTCACACCAACCACTACGGTTTTTGACTCCCTCAAGCATGGTCTTGGCCTCAGCAATGCGCGCCCCGCCAACGCCGACACAGGTAACGCGCACAGGGTCGTGGCTGAGGGCACCTCCTTTGCGGATTTCATTTCGGAATGGCTGCCAGAGCTCCCTCCTCCGGGGCAACTAACCACCCAGGAGCAGGCCGCATCCCTCTTTACCTTCTTTTATGACCATCGCAACGAACTTTGCGCCTTCGTTGACCTCTTCACCGCCACAGTGTGTGCTGGCACCACCGGGGCGGTCGACATCTGTATTGTCGACAGGGCGGGGCGCTTTACCATGTCGGGCGAAGACGCCCGCCAACGGCTCACGGCAGGCAGTACACGGCCCACGGGCCCATTGATCATCGCCTCCCCCTCCCATTGGTGGGGCATTGTCGCTGCCTTGGAGCTCCATGCCGTCCTCCATCACACCCACGTCAGATGGGAAGATCTGTACCGAACTTATGGGCTCGCCAGGCTTGGGCTATCAAGCCCCCCGCGCGCGGATAGGGAGACCGCCCAGGAGTTCTATGAACGGTGGTCCGTGAACCGTGTTCCTCCGCTTTGCGATGCTACAGCCGTTGCTGCACACAGTGGCATGGATGGTTACCCGGTCCAGCTCCTCCTCCGGGGCGTGGATTTTGAGCACAGTGGACCGAGTGGCCAATCCATCACGGCACGTCCGTTTTATCCGGTAATCGACACCGATCGCCCAGTCTTCGGACTGCTGGAGTTTACTACACCGCCGAGGTTTGGTCTCCATCGCCTTCGTGAGCACAAGGGCGAGGGTGTGCCTCCCCCCAAAAGGCTATACAGTGCACTCCGCTCCACTCACCACAGGTCTCTCATCGGGACACACATGACTTTCGCGATGCCAGCGACCGTGTGCCGGGGCCAAGCGAGCACATCGGAGTCGATGGTCACCGCCGTTCGGGGGGCGTTTTACCTTTATGCCATTGCCTCCGATACGATCAATACGACTTGGGAGGTTGCAGCGCTTCGTGTCGTCGCAGGTACACCATTCTTGCCCTGAAACGGTCTTGCTGCCGCCGGTTGCTACTACGGGCCTGCCACGCGCCCTCTATGACCCGGCGGGAAAGGTCCGCCCTGACCCAGACACAGGAGTGCCTGCCAAAGAGGATCCGGCACTGACTGCGGAGCTGCGCAGTCAAAGCTGTGCTGTCTCCCTACCCGTTGCACCTAGCGCTACATGGAGCCAACGTGTGGCGGCCCTATTGGACGCAGTGGAGACCCCGCCTTGTCGTCTTGTGCCGGGAGTTTCTTCAATTGCCAGCCGTGTGTACCGGCAGAAGACGAGGACGAATTCGATGAGCAGCATGACACCCTTCGGCGCTACCAAGCTCGGGGCCGACTACAGCAGCCTGTCGATGGAATAGAATGTGCCGGGGCACTGCAACAATTGCTGCCCAACCCCACCGACTGCCTGACCCTGCTTTCTCTCCCCTTGTCTCTGCCCGCTTGTGAAGTCAAACTCAGCCCTCAGAATTTTGGGGTGAAGGTGGTGGATTTCGCCGACCGGGCCCTCATGTTGCGACGTTGCACTGATAGTGAAGCCTTTCGCGTCTGCTTGACGCCCCTGCTTGCCGTGTCTGTCGCATTGGCTCAGTTTTGTGACCCTGTCCTGCGCCTGCCTGAAGGACAGGTTTTCGACCTTTCCTGGTATGAACTTGCCCGCCCTGAGATTTGGTGGTGGCTGCTCCTTGATGAGCTTGCTGGACTCAAGGGATCGCTTCGCCGTGCTCTGGCGGGACGGAAGTCCCCAGTCCGGGACGGCAGCTTAGTGCAAATGTCCTTGGCTCCACCGCCAAGCCAGACCCATTGCCGACAAATAGCCGGCGGGGCGCTGGTTCCAGCCAGCGGCGCACTACTAGGGTGTTGAGGCGACGCAGGGAACCCCACTGCTGCACTGCGGTGTGTTGCTGCCAGTACAGCTGCTGTTCTTTCTCACCCGAGCGCTAGCTGACGACCCTACGGCCGCTCCACTTCTGCAGCTCACCAACGTTACCCCAACCCGTGACGGCCAGCACATTGAGGTGCGAATCACGTGCAAGGTTCCGGCTGCCTTGGTGGGCCGCCCCCAGATTGCCATTGCTGACCGCTTGATGGCGGGCTTCGAGGATGGACTCCTTCCGGCCAGACGCGGCGAGTTTGACCCACGCATGTTCACGTATCCGGGCTCCTATCGCGGCACCTTTCGACTGCTTTTCCCACTTGCGGACATCTCACTGGGGTTACAAGCTCAACCGTCTCTATCGATTCAGGCTGCGGGCCTACTTCATAGCGCCCTGTGGCGACTTCGTGCTGCGGCAACCTCCGAAGGCTGGGATCTCCGAGCGGTCGTGGCCTACTGGATACGCGGGC